AAAAGATTCTCCTTTTGCTGGAGACCACCTACAACCCACTTAATCAACCTCCAGTTACACGTCTCCACTTATTATTTGCAGAATCCTCCCCTTTAATGCATAATGCAATAAGGAGAGAGGCACACATCGCAGACACTCACACAGATAACATACAAACTGTGACTCCAGCATGGTGAGTCTGTTTGATAAATTGCCTACAGCACATGTGCTTGGGGAAAAATGTGTCACAGCTCTTTGTCAGGTGCACAAGCCACAGTAGCTGCCCTGAGTTCTTCAAAGTGTGTCAAGTAACAGAGACTATCCATGAAGAACCCACCAGAGGGAGCAATCTGCACATTTATCACACTTTGGCAAACTTCAGCCACAGCTGCAGAGTGTGTGTATGCAGTACCATGGCAACCGCCTGAGACACATCTCACAAAAAAACAGTTTGCTAAAAGACAAGAGTCTTGCCAGAAAGTGATAATGCTCTAATAGTGTTGGAAGGAATAGAAGTAAAGGAAAAAAGATAAAACTCTTACAAACACAATTACAACAAAGTACCAAGAAAGGGTCTTTTTCTCTTGATTTACTGAGGCAGACAAAATGTGCCTTTAAATAGACTTATTTTTATAGTCAGGTTTGCAGGAACAGCCTATTTTTGTTTTACATCTTATAGTTTTTACTATCAAATAAATACCTAGTCTTTGTCGTGCATTATGATTAAGAAAATACAGCATATATTGATGATAGGCAACTTGCCAACTGCTACTTCTATTAATCCTCTCTAATTAATTTCATTGAAAAACGAAATAAACTTCTGTTAAAAACTGCTTATGTACTTCTTAAAGGGTAAATTAAATTGCTCCACTTGCTGACACGAAATTAACTTTCACCATTAGCATAACAGCATTAAAGAAACCAAAAGGAACGGTGGTAACCATGACAACTGAATTTTGTTCCACATAATGTATCTCCAGGTAAACTTTCTAGCTAATGGTTTGCAACAACTAAGTACCCAGCTGTGGCTCCCGTACTGATCTGACAGCATAAATCAACATCTGCAACATCTTAACATTGGTGCTAACTACATGGAGTTTGTGTGTCACAATATGCATTGATGTGCGGTACATAGTTTGTTTGTTATCTTGCAAGACTGCTTGACCAAGACCTCTTGTGGTCTCTTCTTGTGGGTCACTGGGTATTAGTTTAAGAGCTTTGTTTTTAGAGGGATCACTGGGTTATGTGTCCAAGTGCAGTCTAATCTGTTAATTAACATTCCCAATGAGTAACATGGTCACATGTTGTTGTAAAGCCTCTTCCAAGGTACTTCTTTTCACCTATAGCTGAAAGTTTCACCAGGAAAACATGTGATGGGACCAAAATCACTCACTTGGTTAATCTTTCCACTTACAGTCAAGTGTTTGATCATACATTAAACATTTTAAATAGGAGGTTGTAGGTTTGAAAATAATAACTGGTTGCCAGGGAAATCCAGCCACTACATGCTCACTGCAGCTTATAGCCTTATGACTCCTGTCTACTGTCTGCCTATAAC